CCCCCCCCCCCCCCCCGCCACCCAACCCCCACCGCCCCCGGGTGTGTCTTTCCCCGGGCTCTCTTTCCCATCCTTTGGAGAATGTCTCACACAAGGTATAAGCCACCTGACTTGGCTGAGAAAGCAGGATCCTCTGTAATCGATAGCAGTGTGGACATCACCAGAACCATTACTCCTTTTGGCCTTTATGAGGAAGCAAAACCAGGTGAGAGAGCAGTGAGCTGAGCAGGAAAAAGAACCACGAGACACGAAGTCGCTCTCACATTTAGGGGTCCAAGGGGCTATGGGAAACTGTTGCTGGGAAGGAGATGTTCTATCCCTCCTCTGCCCCCCATTGTCATGTGCAGAAAAGGTGTCCTATAAAGGTTGATGTTGTTCTATACTCGGATGTCTCCCCAGACACAGGCCTGTTAGGACATGGGATGGTCTCATGTAGTGTGGCATTCCTTGAATGGTGGTCCACAGATGTATTCTCAGGGGTCGGCAAGTTCTCGGCAAGAAGTAAAACCCTGTGAGTTTCTAGGTCTATCGTGATCAAAACCAATAGGAGACATTTAAATCACCTTATAGTTTAGGATTCTCGCACTTTTTTTGTTAAGTTATGAAATGTTTCATAATACAAATGTATACGTAACATGAATGTTAGTAATGAGCTATAAAAATAAAATTTACACCTGTGAACTCACCACCCAAATTATGAGCCAGACCATCATGGATGTCATTGAACTTGGCCCCCTGCTTCTCCTTATTCTCCCGTGTTAAAGCAAAATACACAATGGAGACGAGCAGACGAAACCACGTAAGCCACACAAACAAAACGAGATCTAGCTCATTCCATGAACGTAAGTACAAAAACGTCTTATTCTTATAGATGTCTCTGAGAAACCATTAAAGAAATTTAAGCCCATTTCCTAAAATTATAGGAAATAATCCCTTTTAACCAATCCCCTGCCGTCTAGAAACCCCCATTCTGATCCCCAATCATTATCGAGGTCAAAAAAGTTCATTTTCACTCAACGCTTACTAAATACCGTTTTACTGAGCCGGGTTGAATTGTTGCTGTTCTGGATCGTTGAAACCTGCTTCCCCGAACCAACCAACCCCTCTCCTCAATTTGTTTCATATCTGCTTACTTCGTCAAGTTTTACCACAACCTACGTGCCTCTAAAAGACACATGGTTATTTAGTTTTGGTTATTTCCACCTTTAAAAACTTTAAGAAAAATGGTCACATGTGCTCCACATTCTTCTGGGGCTTTCTTTTCCCTCCAAATGGTGTTCCTGAGATTTATGTTCATTGCCCTGCTGTGTGGGACCCCATTACGTGACTAGTCCACAAAGCCTCCGCCCTCCCTCCTGTTAGGGCTCAGCTTCGCGCTGGGTCTTGTGTTGCTCTTAGGAACTATGCCGCCTCCAGGGCTTGAGGCTGTCTTCCAAAGCGCTCATGCCTGGTTCGTCCAGGGCCCTGGCCCACGAGTGGAATGGATGCGTCGTCGGGTACCTGAATCTGGAGCGTTACCAGAGAACGTCGAACTTTTCCACAGTGGTCATCCTGCTCCATGATTTTAGGGCTGGTAGAAGCCGAAAGACTCACCTGAGTTTACACAGATGAAAAATGGAAGCGTCGGAAGCCAGGTCCGACTAGAAGGCCCAGGCTCACTTCTGCACTCGATTGGTTGGACCACTGATAAAAAGTAGCGGCTACACAACAGGCCAGGCGGGGGCCAGGGGCACTTTTTATCTAAGTGACGCACAGATATCCTGTGAGAGAGGCACTATTGGCACTCTGCCCATTCAGAGGAAGAAACTGAGGCAGGAAGACCTTATAAACTTGCCCAAGGTCACACAGAGCTGCGACTTGAACCCAGGCAGGGTAGCAGCAGTGGTTGTCTTCTTGTGCCCTTCTTCAGGGCTCCTGAAGAAATAGAAAAAGGTCTAGGTCACAGGGCATGCCCTTGAGATCACTCGAGGAACCGCATTCATTCACTCATTCACTCATTCAGCACCTACCGCGAACCAGCACACGGGCCGTGTTTGGGATACAGACGTAAATGACACAGGCCCAGTTCCGTCCCACAAGTATGGGTGAAACAGACAAATAATCACACAAACGGATATAACATGTTAGTAAAGAACAGTAAAGGAATGAATTTATTATAATTTTTTTCAAGTTTATTTTTATTTATTTTGAGAGATAGAGAGCAAGCAGGGGAGGGGCAAAGAGAGAGAGAGAGCAAGAGAATCCCAAGCAGGCTCTGTGCTGTCAGCACTGAGGTCGACATGGGGTTCAAACTCACACGGTGAGATCACGACCTGAGCCGAAATCAAGAGTTGGACGCTTAACCAACGGAGCCACCCAGGCGCCCCAAAGGGACTAATTTAGATTCTTCTCCAAAGAAGTAATGACCTGGCATTTAAGCTGAGACATAAAGCACGTGTAAAAGCCAAGGGACGCGTGTGCACAGGTGCGTGTGCGTGTGTGCGGGTGTGTGTGCATGGAGCCACTGCAAGGTCAGAAGCACAGCAATGACAGGTCAGATGAGCATTCTTTAAAAAGGGGGCCGTGTCCCTTTAGGAAGGAGAAGGCGGTGGGGGGGGAGGGTGGGCAGCAGAGGATGGGACAGCTCCTTGGTGGCTGCGCAGGGGACAGAGGAGCTGTGGTCGGGAGGGGAGAGTGAGGGGAGCCTTCAGGGCCCACTGTGGAGGGGGCTCGGTGTACCTGGGAGCCGCAGGTGTGGGGCGGGCAGGATGGGGGAAGGGCCAGGCCTTAGCAGGTACCGAAACGGAGGGTGGTGGGATTGGGAGACCAGCTGGGAGGCACCACTGTGGACACGCTCTGTTTGAACACTCCCCGAGGCGTCCACGCACAGGAACCCTGAAGGCACTTGGGCGTGTGAGTCAGGAGCTCGGAGGACATGAGGTGTGGCCACCGGACACGGCGGGCGTGCAGAGGTGCGGGGGGGCCGAGTGCCCTGTGGAGAGGGTGCCCAAGGAGCCTGGCGACAGGAGGTGCAGCTGCCCCCCTCTCTCCTCCCCCTGACCCCCACCAAGCCCTCACTCCACTCCTAGGCTTTTGCAGAGAAGGAAACTGAGGTCATCCTGAGCTGGAGTCATCTGGGGAAGGCCATACACCCTGAAACTCTCCAGTTGGGCTCAAGATCCAGACTCCCAGACCTCCTGCCAGCTGGGGCAGGGGGGGGCCTTCCCCGCCTCGCCAGGCCCGGTGAGCCGTGCCCCAAGCGTGGCACCAAAAGGCTCGGGGTGAGGAAACTGCAGGCCCGCACGCGGGGGAGCAGGAGGCGAGAGGAGAGGCGCTGACAGGTGCTGGCGTTGGGGACACCCATGTCATCCCCCAAGCCGTCGAAGGTGGAGACGGCCAGGGAGGCACAGAACCAGAACCACGGCTGCAGGAGGCGGTGGTAGTGCCTGGGCCCGGGTGGGGGGCTGTGGGCAGGGCACCGGGGAGGTGGGGGCACCCCAGAGCCTCCAGGAATGTGCCCGGGGACACTGTGCCTCCGGAGCGCACAACCTCTGGGGCCTCGGCACTGGCAGCGGGCCCGCCGTCTGAGGAGGGCACTGGTGTGGAAGCGTTTTCATGTTTTTTAAATACATAATCTGGGATTAGATGCCCATTCACATGACCTTTGTCCGCTCTTGCCTGCAGCCACTTCAGGGTGAGTTAATAAATACCGGAGGAAACTGAGGGGCCGGGAGGCCTGGGTGAAGGCTCTGCGGGAAGAGCGTTCCCCTGAGCAGGGGGCTTTGTGCCCGGTGAGGGGGGGGGAGCCCTACGTCCCGTTTGCCCCAGACGCTCCCGGCTTCCCTCTGCTGACGGCACCCCATTCCCTTCCGAAGTCCCAGTCGCGAGGCTAAGTCAGACAGTCACCACCCATCACCTGTGATGTCAGCAGCCATCTGGCCGATGCTGCTGCAGCCAATGCTGTTTTCTGCAAGAGCTTCTGTCGAACCGTCGGAAAGCTGGGGACCAAACCACCCGCCGTGTTTCAAGGCAAGTGCTCTGCAGTGGTTCTCCAGCTGCGATCCCAGACCAAGCAGCGCTGGCATCACCGGGGACCCTGTTAGAAACGCACCCTCCCGGGCCCCCCTTCAGTCCTACGGAAACTGCTGCTCTGGGGGTGGCGCCTGGCTGTCTGCTTCCCAAGGTTTCCACCTTGGGAAGCTCGGACAGTTTCAGGGGGTCCTGGAATCTTCTACGATTGAGTGCAAGCCTGAGTGGAAGTGTGTACTTTCTGGACAGATGATCATTCAGACCCAGAGCCAAGTGCTGCAGACTGCAGCAGGTCTCTGTGCCCCCCGCCCCACAGCTGTGGCCGTGACCCTCTTCGAGATGGGGAGGACTCACTGGCAGCCCTGGGAAGGGCAGGGCAATGGCACCAGGAGTTAGAGACCCAAATATGTAAAGCCGTGCTGCCTGCCTTGCCTGACGGGCGGTCTGTCCCCTGGGGGTTTTCCACATTGGCTAACGGGACGATGGACGGAACATGCAGGCCTGTGGGGGTGGCTCCGTCCGCGGTTACTTCCCTCCTGACCACGGGAGGCAGGGCAGGGGTGTCTGCAGCACCTACTTGACCCACCGACCCGACCCATCGGCAGCTTCACTGACATCACCCCAATTAACCCTCACAGCCCCTCCATGAAGTCGTTCTTGTTCCACGTTACAAATGGAACCACCAGGGGCGCCTGGGGGGGCTCAGTCAGGTAAGCGGCCGACTTCAGCTCAGGTCATGGATCTCCTGGTCTGTGAGTTCAAGCCCTGCGTCAGGCTCTGTGCTGACGGCTCGGAGCCTGGAGCCTGCGTCGGATTCTGTGTCTCCCTCTTTCTGCCCCTCCCCTGCTTGCTGTCTCTCTTTCTCTCTCTCTCAAAAATAATAAACATTAAAAAAAAAAAAAAAATAGGAACCACCAGGGCAGGAAGAGTAGTGACTTGTGGGGGCTGGGGATGGGGTGGCTGGGACTTGAGCCCAGGTATTTTTGGTTGCGCTCACCATGCTGTCACATGTCAAACAGGGGTAGGAGGTGGTGGGCCACAGGGAGAGGGGCTCAGAGTCATGGGGTGGCGGTAACTGAGATGCATCATGGGCACAACGGAAAACTCAATCTTGTTTTAGTAAAAGTAAAGGAAGGCTTCGAAAAAGTGGATTGGTTCCAGCTCTGTGCTGACAGCTCAGAGCCTGGAGCCTGCTTCCGATTCTGCCCCTCCCCTGCTCACGCTCTCTCAAAAACAAACTTAAAACCCCCCTTTTTTTTTAACTCCAAAAAGTGGATTGCTGCCCTTGGTGTCCTAGACCTGTTCCTCCTAAGCCTGTGGTCCTGTCAGCTGTCAGGGGACCCTCTCCATGTCCTTCCCGCAGGTCCAGCCTGCTCACAACAGCCCCAGGGCTGGGCACGCCCCCTGGAGTGTGACTTGTGTATGTGTTAGAGGAAGCTCCCCCTGATGGAATCCTCTCCAAGTTCCCACAAGTGTACATTCTGGCTTTGGGACACGGCAGGTGCAAGCCAGGGTCTGAGAGGAAAGAGACTGCTCTCATCAAGAAACTGAATTAAGATTCATTTATTCTAGGTTCAAAAGGGTTTTTTTGTTTGTTTTTCTTTTTTAGCAAATCCTATAATATTATTAACAAAAAATCTGTACATTTGCCATGATACACTTGAGAGTGAAACAAATAAGATATAAATACAGATATGGATGTAACATGAAAAGCCTCCTCTAAAACGGTAGTAAAACCCAAAAAACCCAACCTGGGGTGTGGGGACCATAAGGTAGAACACAGTGCCAACAAACTATTTTGGTGGCTACTAGTTTTCAGAGCTGCTTTTTTTTTTTTTTTTTTTCTATTTTCCAAATATCATTGTTAGCAAACCTGGTAATTCCTACAAAGTTCTATTTGTTGTTCTTTCACTTGTAGTATTATGCCTCGATAACAAGGCGCAAGCAGGGGAAAAAAAACCAGACTGATGAGGATTAAATTGCATTACTCATGAGGGTGGGACAAGCCAGTGAGGACACAGAGAGGTCGTCCTGGTCGCCTGGCGTCTGCCGACACACAGTGGACTCCTCGGAACTTGAACAGTTATGTTGTTCTGGCTACCAATCAAGAGGCTCATGTGGGCTGACCGAGGCCCGCAGAGGGAGGGCACGGGCGGCTCTTCTGGGCCCCGGACTGTCTGTGGGTAAACAGGGGAGGCAAACGGCTTCTCGGCAGTTTTGGGTGTTTCGTCCAAAACAGGAGCTCTGCAGGAGGCGGGCGGCAAGGCGAGGCAGTTGTCGGGGCTCGGGGCGCGGGCGGCTGCTCCCTCCCGGGTGAGGTGGTATATGTACGCGAAGTCTCCCCAGTATGGTGTCGGGCGCGGCAGCAGCAGTTCTGATTGAGGGCCAAGAGACCTGTGATTGTATCCCCTCTAGGTAGATTGAAGGAAGTGACATTCTCCCAGGCTAGCCCTTTGTGAGTACAATGAGGACATCTCGCAATGTTCGCTCTTCTTCCCAGCTGCATGGGGTATGAGGGCAGGGAGTCACAGAGTTCAAGGGGCAAGGTCTTTCCAAACGCATGAGGCATACAAGAACTCATAAATAACCTAGCAGAACGCACATTTCTACAACAGAGGAGTAATCAAAAGGTGCCCTGACTCACTTGTCGAGTGTAAAAAGGAAATCCCATTAGTGAGATATTAACAAACGTCATTTATCAATGAAAGTAAGGCCTGGTCCTGCTATGTTTTGAGCCAAAAATAAGTCAATAATATTCAACCACTTAAAATGCACCCCTGAAGTTCCTTCAACAGCAGCAGCGGGGTACTTCCCTCCAAGTGCAAGATACCCCCCCTCACACACACACACACACACACTCGCACACACACACTCTCACTCTCTCTCTCTCTCTCTCTCTCTCAGTGAAGGCACCCTGGCTTCACTGTTCCTGGACCTTTGTTTTCAGTGCCTAGTTCCAAATAAAGTATCTAAAAATACCTTCTGAGTGAAAATGAGTTGTGTGTGCTACAGTGTTGCAACTTCCAAACAAGGCGGGAGGGTCAGAGATTGGGGGGCGGTCTGTAGGTGTCAGCGGGACCACCGCCCAGTCTCTGCTTCTGGGTGCTTCTGGCTGCAAGGGGGGTTCTGCATCAGAACAGCAAACACCTCATTACAAAGTAACACCAGAACAGGCATTTTCCTCAGGGAAAACCCAGTTCAATTTAGAGAGGATAGAAGGCTTCACGACTGCAACAAGAATTTCCATTTCACTTGAAGAATTTTACTCAAAACTTATTTTAACCAGACTCTAATCTTTATAGTCCCTTTTATTGGAGAGTGAAACCCTTAAGAAAAATGTTTAGGAAGGGTAGTTTCTCTGGTAATTTCTCAGTGAAGAAACGTTAAAACTGGGTTTCAAATCTTGTTTTCCTGCAATGTGCCACTCACCATTGCTTTTTCCTCAAACAACTATTTCAACAGATGATCAAGGAAGTACTTCCGTCCATAAAATTAAAAAAAAGGATTCTGATACCTGGTCTCTCTAGATTTTCCTTCGATCCTAATCCCAAATGAAACCAAGAAGTCAAAACTGGGGTGGCAGAGTTATCATTCATCAGACTGGCCAGAACACTTCGAACTGAGCAGCTGAGGTGGAGGCTGGGGGACAGGAGAGGAGACGGTGCTGAATCGGAAAACCCTGACCAAGAAGCAGGGCCACAGGGGAGGCCCTGTTAACATAGTGTTTCCTCAACATCTGCGTAGTGAAATAAACACACACACCCCTTCTCTTGTATCTTCCAGGCTTCACGAAATGCCACTTTAGGCACTCCCCCTAAGGGATGCTATACATTTACCTGGACTTTTCTGTTTGGATTTAAACGGAAGAAACAATTCTTTCGAGTAGAAGCTCTGGGTGGGGATAGCGCGAGTGGAGGGTTCAGAGGCGCTGGGAGCCCGTCCTGGAAGGGGCCTGAGGAGGGGGCCCTGGGCCTCCAGTCCAGAAAGTGTACAAGCAAAATCCCACGTGTTTGTTAAAAGACGGTCTTCAGGCTTCTGTTTGTTTCTTGCCGGGATTTGACTCACGTTCTTAGTAGGTCTCACAATCCAACTGCAGGACATACGACCCTTTCCTGGTGTCACAGGCCGTGTCCAGAAGAAGTAAGCGAAGATGAGATAGAAACACAAATTAACACACCCTCCTCAATGTTATTAACTAAGAGAAAATGCTACTTTCTACCACGTATTGGCTAGAGAGCTCTGATTTGCGAAAACTGCACCCCACACACATGGTTTTATGATCTCAGCAGGCTGTACAAGACATGGGTTAAGTATGGCTCTTTTCTTATTCCGCTTGTTTCGTACGAAGACTGCAAAACAGGCCTTGCTTCCTTTACATTCAATACCAGTAAGATTCTACACAAAAGCTGGAAGGGACCAAAATACTGATTGTAATAAATATCTGCGGGCCTCCATGTACTGACTGGGCAGCCGATGGGGGGGTGGGGGGGGCGGGGAAGGTCTCTGAGAGGCACCACCGATTGCTTCTAGGGCGACAGAAAGAGACTCTGGCGCTGCCATTAGCTGTGTGTGGACACGTCGGAGGAGGAGCTGCTGTTGCTGTTTGTGGTTTGGGCCCTCTTTATGTATAAGTTGAGTAGCTTCATCTGCAAAGAGAAGACGTGACAGATTAGCAGGAGGAAGGCAATCAGGGAGCAGGAGATGAAAAACCCCAGGTGACAATCAGAAGAGAGCACGTCCCTTCGTTGAGAAATTCAGGACACAAACACTGAGTGCCCACCACGCATTCGGCACACACCTGCCAGCGGGGAGGGCCATGGCCACGGGAGGGGTCAGAGTCTGGGGGGGGAGGGGCAGTGGGTTCTCAAGAAAGAATGAAAGCGTCACTCTAAGCACTCTAAGCAGGGGCACAAGGGCTCCCTGGAAGCAGCTGTGTGAAGGGGCAACTGAGGCCAGTGGCTCCACGCGGTCTGGCGGGGAAAGAAGGGTGTGAGCCCAGCTCCACAGGGACGAGATCCGCTAGGCAAGGTACAGGTTGGGTCTTCTGACCTTCACCCCTCGGCTGCAGCTGTGCCCTCCACACGGACACCTCTCTCCTCCCCCTTCTGGGCCCACCACAGTGCTGTGGCATCGGAGACCTATCCAGAAGGCCGCCTCCATGGCCTTCCCCCCACCTGCTCATCAGCTCCTGTGGCTCGGGCACCTGCCTCGTGGAGTTGGCAGTGCACTCACTTGCTCCTTCCCGTAAGATGAGAGCTCACTGAGGCCAACGGCGTGTCGTGAAGTCACATCACCTCGGATGGGCACAGCGCTTCACGACGAAAGAGGCTTTCATTTCTGAGATCTCCCATGCTTTTAACGTAAGCCCCCCTGGACCCTCCGGATATGCAGAACACCGTGTAACACTGTAGGTTCTTAAGTGCTCGTTCTTAAATACTTGTCGAAATCATAATGCGTTATGTTGACAATTTGCCTGCTCATACTAAGAACCAAAAGAAACAAGTGTTTGTGGAAGCAGAATGCCCGTAAACGTCCACGTAACACACAACTTGCAAGATGAAGGGGACTGGGAAATATTTTCTATCCACGGCTCTTTACCTGCTTTCCTTGCTCTAAGCAGGCCACAAGGAGGCTGAGTCCAGGGGAGGAGAGGCTGGTCTCCAGGGGGACCCAGGAAGAGAGGCCCAGCGTGTGGTGCGTGGGAAAGCGGGCCCTCCAACTACCTTCCAGTGGGGGCTGGAACAGCAATGGCACAGAGCTACTGAGAGAGGCTAAGTCTCCCTGACTGCTCACCCAAAGGTAGATATACAGGCTGAAATAAACACTTGTGCTGTGTGTCTTCCCATAAAGGGAGATCCATCCCTGGGATAGCCACACACACGGTTCCAGAACCAACTCCACCACCAACTAGTTGTGTGACTACAGGCAAAACATTTTCTGAGCCTCAGCTTCCCCTCCTGCAAAATGAAGACTGAAAACACGTCCACGTGCCCTCCGTAGCTCCTCATCAGAAAACATGTCCTCCAAACACCCCTCCTCAGTTGTTCTTGCGGTCCCCTCCTGCAGTCTGCTCCCGCCTCCCTCCCTCTGCAGCTCAGCCCTGTGCTGCCAAGCCCCACCCCCGTTCAGTCCCAAGGGACTGTTCCACGCAACGGGCCCTCCTGGGCTGCTGGGCAGGCTTCCTTGTGGGTCAGTCCTGTCCTCGGACACATTTCATGCCACTCCAGGGCAGGACGAAGTTTTGCTTTTCCCACACATCTTAGTGGTACAGTGAGGACAGCAAGTATTCCTAACACATACTTGTTGAATCAAAGATTTTTTTAAAGAAGAAAAAACGTTCTACAAGACAAGGTAGTTATATTTCTGTGAAAGCCTGATTAAAAATGAGGTGCAAACACCGTTATACTTATTTGCGATCAAAACCACTGACGTATCCACCAGTGTGGTCCAGAATGTAAGCACAAGTACAAGGAAATGATGGTAACAGAGTTAATGACATGGCCGTGGTTTCACAGTTTACAAGAAGCTTTTACTGACGATCATATTTGAGCCTCACAAAAATCCTCTGAGGGAGGCAGAACAGGCTCTCTTGTCTTACAAATGAAACGCCTGGGGTTCAGAAGCTTGCTCCATAAGCTGGTATAAATTCAAATTATAGAGTGTTATAACCTTAGGATGTCCAATGTAATCCCCCCAGCAACTACTAAGAAAACAGCTACAGAATATACACGAAAGGAAATGAGGAGGGAACTAAAACATTTCAGTACAAAAAGCAAACACCGCAGAAAAACGAGGGACAGGAAAAGCTCTACGGTATACTGAAAACACACCCCAGCTTGTGACGGCGGTCTCTCCTTAGCGGCAAGCAGTCTCTTCAAATGGAAACGGTGGACCTCTCTAGTCACAAGACAGAGACTGGCAGGATGGGTAAAGAAAACACGCTCCAACACTACGCTGTCTACAAGAGGCTACTCAGTTTAGATCTACTAAGACACAAAGAGGTTGAAGGTGACAGGTTGAAAAGAGAGACTCCACGCAAACAGTAACCAAGGGTGTAAGGGTGGCTGTACTGATTACACTGAGTAAAACAGAGTTTAAATTTGTTTTTTTTTAGTGTTTATTTTCGAGAGAGATGGAGAGAGAGAGAGAAGGAGCGACAGAATGCGAGTGGGAGTGGGGCAGGGAGAGAAGACAGGGAGACACAGAACCTGAAGCAGGCTCCAGGCTCTGAGCTGTCAGCACATAGCCCGATGTGGGGCTCGAACCCACGCACTGCGAGATCATGACCTGAGCCGAAGTCAGACGCTTAACCGACTGAGCCACCCAGGCGCCCCAAGCAAAACAGACTTTAAATCAAAAAGTTTACAAGACAGCAAGAAAGTCGTTATATATTAATAAAAGGCCAATAACACCAAGAAGATGCAAGCACAGACACGTCTGTGTATAATAACACGCCAGCAAAGTAGAAGAAGGAAATGTTGACAGAACTGGAGGGTTCGCTTGGAGACGTCAGTACCCTGTTCTTTTTTTTTTTTTAAATTTTTTTTTCAACGTTTTTTATTTATTTTTGGGACAGAGAGAGACAGAGCATGAACGGCGGAGGGGCAGAGAGAGAGGGAGACACAGAATCGGAAACAGGCTCCAGGCTCCGAGCCATCAGCCCAGAGCCTGACGCGGGGCTCGAACTCACGGACCGTGAGATCGTGACCTGGCTGAAGTCGGACGCTTAACCGACTGCGCCACCCAGGCGCCCCAGTACCCTGTTCTTAATAATAGACTGAAGACCCAGAGAGAAGACGAGGACATCAAAAACTAACACACCACAATAAACCAACTCGATCTAATAGTCACAGCAAAACACTACCCAACAACAGAATACACGTTCTTCCTAAGTGGATGTGGCCCATGCTCCAGAAAAGACTAAAATAAGGCCACATATGAAGTCTCAACAGATTCACAAAAATAGATATTATACAGAGTGTCTTCTCTGACCACGACTGGATGAAGTTAAAAATTGGTATCAGGAAGAAAACGGAAAAATTCACCAATTTGTGGAAACTGAGCAACACGCTGGTCAAGAGCCCATGGGTCGAAGAAGAAATCACACGGAGACTTAGAGAGTATCTGGAGACAGAGGAGAATGCAAACAACATACCTAAACTTACGGGATGCAGCAAACGTAGCGCAAAGAAGGAAACGTGTAGCTTAGAATAAAAAAGGAAGAGCCCGTATCAACCGTCGCACTTTACGCCTTGCACTAGAAAGAGAACAAATTAAACCCAGAAGGAAAGAAATAATAAAGATTAGGACAGTGATAAATGAAATAGAAAAGCAATAGAGAAAACCAAGGAAACCAAAAGTTGGTGCTTTGAAACGATAAATAAAACCGACAAATCTTTAACTCAGTTACCTAAGGAAAAAAGAAGACTCAAATTACTAAAAGCATTGATGAATGTTTGGACATTACTACTGATTCTACAGAAATAAAAAAGATTAGAAGAGAACACCATGAGGGGTACCTGGGTGGCTCAGTCAGTTAAGCGTCCAGCTCTTGATTTCGGCTCAGGTCACGGTCTCACGGTTCATGGGATCAAGCCCCACATTGGGCTCTATGCTGACAGGAAGGAGCCTGGAGCCTGCTTTGGATTCTGTGTTCTGTCTCTCTTCTCTCTCTGCCCCTCCCCTGCTCGCATTGTCTCTCTTTCTCTCTGTCTCTCTCAAAAATAAACATTAAAAAAAATCAAAGTAAATAACTAAACTTAAAAAAAAAACCCACTATGAACAAATGTACACCAACAGATTAGGTAACCCAGATGAAATGGACAAATTCCTAGAGACTTCATGAAAGTTAAAAAAAATTATGCAGCAAAAGACAGGGGGTTAATATCCAAGATATATAGAGAACTTCTAAAACTCAACAACTAAAAAAATAAAAACCTAATTCAAAAATAGAGGACTTGAACAGACATTTCTCCAAAGAAGATACACAACTGGCCAACGTGAAAAGATGCCCCACATAACAAAACTACACTGAGGAACCACCTTGTATCAGCCATGAGGACCGCTACCGTCCAAGAGAGAGAAAACAGTAAGTGTCGGTGAGCAGGTGGAGAGACTGGAACCCTCGGGTGCTGTCAGCGGGAACGTAAATGGGTACAGCCACCGCGGAAAAGTTATGGAATTCAGCAATTCCAGTCCTGCTGTAGACACAAAAGAACCGAAAGCGGGGTCTCAAAGATGCACTTGTACACACACCTTCACAGGCAGCATTGTTCACAACAGCCAACGATGGAAAGAAGCGCCCGTCACCAAAACACGGACAAGCAAACTGCAGTACGTACGCACAACGGAGTAGCACTCAGCCTTAAAAAGGAAAGAAATTTGGACAAACCTACGACATGGACGAACCTCAAGGACATCATTCTAAGTGAAATAAGCCAGTCGCAAAAAAGACAAATGGTGTCGCTTTTACAAGGCCCCCGGGGAGTCAAATCCAGAGACTTGAAGTAGAATGGTGGTGGCCAGGGGCTGGGAGGAGGGAGTTCTGAGGAATTACTACTTAAGGGGGTGGGGTTTCGGTTTTCCACGAGGAGCAAAGTTCTGGAGGCGGATGGTGGGGATGGTCCCACAACAATGTGAATGTATTAACACCAGTGAAAGGTACACTCAGAAATGCTTAAGACAGCAAATTTTATGTGATGGGTATTTTGCCACCATTTTTTAAAAACTGAGAGAAAGAAAAGAAAGCCTGTTCAGGGTCACACGACTAGGAAGTGGAGGGCAGAGACCAGAAGGCAGGTTGTTTGACCCCAAAACTGGTGTTGCTGCCATGGCAACGGGACACTCTCAAATGCCCCCCATGCATTCCTTCCACGACCCTGCATCAGGCCTTTCTCCGCAGAGCCTGGTATCACTTGTTAAGCAACAGAAGAGTGTTCTGATTGGCCGGGTCACACAGAGCAACGGGAAGCCACAGCCAGAGTCCGTCTATTTCCGGTCTAGGAAACTGAGGCCGTCTTGGCACCACGTCCATCAGCGATTGATGTCTGCTGGTAGAGAGGTGTGTGCGAGTCTCCGAAGGTCCTGCTAACACACCAGAGCTATCGCGTCCAAGGACTGGGGCAGCGGGACGAAGCGGGCTACCGAGGAAGAAGGGTTGAGGCCCAGCCTCCCTACGCCCTCTGAGCGGACCGATCAGGACGTGGGCTCCAGAGCCAAGGCCACCGCTGAGAGGAACGGCAGCAGGTCAGCTGCACAACAGGGATGAGGAAACACCTGCGTCTTCTCAGTCCCTGACTAGAAGGGGCAAATGAGGTGATGGCACAGGGCAACTGCCAGACAAAACCGGGTCTGTTATCTGGGGATGAGCCTTAAAAATTGAACCCCCTTGGTGAATATAGTTTTCTAGTTTTCACTGCTGCCAGGAACCACCGACAGACAGAAAGCCAGACAGAGGCCGGAGAGAGAGGCGGCTTCCGGGCCTAGCACACTGCTGGTGACTCTCGGCTTGGGAGTTTCCAGATCGTGGCTGGGGAAGGGGTCAGTGATGAGAAAAGGAAAGGAGAAGGGGAAAATGCAGTCAGGCGAAGTAGCCCCCAAACCACCCTTCAACCCAGCCGCTGACTTCTCAGGGGTTCTCGGCCAGCGGTGATTTGCCCCCCAGGGGTCATCTGGCTGCGCGCAGCCTTGACGGTGACTCTCATGACTGAGGGGTGGACGCTACCGGAATCTAGAGGGCCGTCAGGGGTTCTGCTTATCCCCCTACAACGCCCAGGACAGCCCCCGCCAGCACAGGGGGGAATGCCCTTCTGGCTTTGCCAGGACTCTGGGGAGGCAAGCCTCTGGCTAAGATGCCCCGCTGGCCGTGCCAAAGGAACGGCTCTATGTGGAAAGAAACGCGGCCTCACTTGCTGATTCTTCCTTTCATAAGGAGCATGTCAGGCACCTCTAGCTTCACGCTTTTTTACCCAGACCACCACCAGGGCGTTTTGAACTCCATGTTGCCGCACTACTCCCCCCAGGCAGCCCCTGGGGTCGCCTTGTCACACGGCCGGCCAGAGGCCTTGCAAGGCCCCAGCGGTCAAGCGGCCGCTCCCGCCCTTGCCTCTCCTGCCAGAGCTCCACCTGCTGTCCCCCAGCAGGCTCATCAGACTGAAGGTTATTTTTAAACCGGTAAGCACTCTGGCCTCTCTCAGCTGCAATGAGCCAACAGGCCTCTTGTCCCATTTTCTGCCCCCCATTCTAAAACACCCTGAAAGGAACAAGACAGGCAGCGTGGCCTGGCTTCTGGCGTGAGAGCTCTGTGTGCCCCTGCGCAGCTGAATGTGGATGAGTGTCCTCATCCCACAGGGACATCGTCACGAATGAAGGCACCGACACACGCAGAGTGCGCACAACAGCGCCTGCACGTCGGCAAGGCCCAGGGGGAGAGCCCGTGGTCGTCACCGTCGATGCCCACGAGGGACCCAGCCCGTGTGGAGGCCAGAGCTGTAGACAAGCAGATTTTCGGCGGCTGGCAGAGCCCAGGCGTGCCGTCGGCCCGTGTAACACTATACGTACCTTGCTCCCCGTGAGCTGTGCGAGGTGAGGTTTCAGCTCTTCTCCAATTACGGAATAAATCGCCACTAAGCAAAACACGCTGGCCTTACGCACACTGCTTTCGGTGTTGTCATAACCCTACAGAGGCAGAAGGGACACGAAAAGGAAATGAGATCAAAGATCTGCTTCACGGTCAATGTCTCGTCAAGGTTTCCGCAAATACCCTCACAGTTCAACCCTGGACTTGGCGCTAACAACCACCACACACCCGAGACCGGCCACTGGACCCAGGGAGCTTGCGCTCCAGGGAGGTCAAAACTCAACAGTGTCGAGAGTGAACTGGTTCCTGCAGGTGGAGAAGGGAGGCTGGCAAGTAACAGCGGCCCTCCCCTGCACTATGTGCTGCTCAACGTGAGCTGCCACAGTAGCGCCACGCAGGACACTTGGGAGAGAGAGTGAGAGAGAGTGAGTGAGAGAGAGAGAGAGAGAGAGAGAGAGAGAGAGAGAGGGAGATGGGAAAGGAAATTAAGGGGGAAAACAGCTCGGTTCTTTCATATTCTCCCAATGGCAAAGCAAACCTTGTGTGAAATGAGAACTTTCAAGAAAAATGAGGACTGCCTCCCTCGCTCTTGTGGGCAGAACCTCTGTACCACCCAAAGCGGGTGGGGGACATCCGGGCCCGGAGCCTGACACCTGTGTACTCTACGTCCGGGCCTCCGTCTACCTGTCGGCCTGGCCCCTGCCCCACTCAAATGAGACAGCCTGCTGCTCTCCAAACAGCCCTGAGGATGCTTCAGGCTTGCTCTTTCCTCTGCCTGGAATAATCCAGTCTCAACAGTCTGTACTTAAATTCCCAAGCCGAGCGCTCGGCGAGCAGCAGCATTTCTTAAACGTGAAGCTGATTTCTCTCCACCTTCCCCACTGAAGTCGCTCTCTCGCTCCAGGGCCCGACTCTAAACCAGCTCTTCTGTGAAATCACCTCTTGGCCTCTGATCCAGGAAACCCCCACTCGCACCTACAGTAACTCTGCAGGTGGTGCCCCCATCTCCGGCTGCCTGCACAGCTGTACTGTGCCCCACGCAGATTGAAACACCCCTGTGGTTATGCCGTGGAGCAGCAAAACATCTTCCTGAGTCTAACTCAGTGCCTTGCACTTAGAAGGCTCTCCACGAATATGTGCTGGATAGCAGAGCAAGGACCATTATCTGATTTTGCACTCCCACGGCCCACCCTGCCCAGGGCTGGGGCCCACAGATGTGCAATAAGGGTTTGTTGAAGGCATGAACAACGACGACCAGGAAAGGACCAAAATATATTTACAGTAAACAGAAAGTTCACTTTGGGAGCCATAGCTCTAGGCTGCCGGGAAGCTCTTCCGGCCACATTCAGGGGAGGGGGTGCGTTAGAAAACAAGAGAGAGAGGGCCCGAGGTGTCCGAGCCACACAGCTGCGCGGGTTCTGAAACAGGTTGGCGCCTGCCCTTTCCCACCCGCCCCTCAAGTGAGTGAGGGGGGCAAAGCCCCAGGCACCCAGGTTGGGCAGCACCGGCTCCCGGCCTCACAGCCCCGCACGACAGGCACCGGCCAGCTGCCCAGGGGGCCCACCTGCAGCAAGCCCGGGATGATGTCGGCGAGGAGCTGCAGCAAGGACTCCTTGGCGATCCTCTCGACGACTTTGGTCTGCATCTTGATGGCGGCGAGGTTGATGGGGTAGTCGGCCGTCTGGATGATGGGGCAGAGGACTTTGATACACTGCTCCGGGTGGATGGAGCTGGCCAGCGTGGAAGCCGCCTCCTCGGCTGCTCTCACCACCTGAAACACCAGTTCCCCCAAACAAGTGAGCTCCCGGAGACCAAGCGATCTGCTGCCTAACTTCGGGAGCCAGAGGACGCTCGTCACCTAAAGCCTCGCGCTAATTCTGTACAAGACAGTTAAGAGCAAGGTGGTCTTGAGGGTGATTCTCCAGTGGATGGGGGGCACAGGAAGGTAGGAATGCGGCTTCCACCAGAAACCCCGGAGAAGCGGTTCTCCAAGTGTTACCTCCCCTGCAGCAGCAGCGACATTCCTGAGAACGTGCTAGAAATGCAACTTCCCCGGCCCCACCGTGGACCCCAATCAGAGACTGGGGCCTGGAGCCCAGCAAGCTGTCTTAATAAGCGCTTCAGAGGGTCTCCCGTACGGGAAAATCTGAGAGTCTCTGTGCTAGAAGATTAGGACCTCAAAAAGAAGTAAACATAAATGCTTTCCAGCAGCTTGGGGTACAGCTGCAATTAAAGTAACTGGAGAGAAGCCGGGAAGAAAAATCAGTGGCTTCAAGACTTATGATTCCATGAAGGCACCTAATCGTAAAGCAGTTGGAGAGGCTTTTCCAAGGAAAGCCTCCGTGCCCGTATCACCACACCCTGTACTCTGAAGGAAGTGCACAAAATGGCCACCTCACAGCCAAAGGAGCGGCCTCTGACCTGTGAAGAGATCCCAGCGCACTAGGATACATCGAGTCCTTGTGCTAGAGGTCACCAGGAGCGCCACAAAAAGAGCCTCTGTAATAAAGATAGAAGCTAAATGCAAAACCCGGCAAGAAACAAAGAGTGCGGGCTGCGGCCTTTGAGGGCTGGAAGCAAACGCCAGCCGTGCCATTCGCAAGTGCTAACCCCCATCTCCTCTTCTGTAAAATGGGGATACCTCACAGAAATCATTTGTTAAGTGGTGTCAAAATGTACTCCATGTTCAGTAAATGATAGTTACTCCTATTCATGACACAGGGGTATGTATATAAATGATAAACAAAAAACACCAGGCTGTAAACATGTACGCATTTTTTTTTTTTAGTTAGAATTAAAAAAAAATTTTTTATATATTTTTGAGAGACAGAAAGAGAGGCAGAATAGGAGTGGGGGAGGGACAGAGAGAGGGAGACACAGAACCCCAAGCAGGCTCCAGGCTGCGAGCTGTCAGCACAGAGTCCGACGCGGGGCTCGAACTCACAAAACGTGAGATCATGACCTGAGCTGAAGTCGGAGGTTTAACCGACTGACTCAGGCGTCCCTGTGTATGCATTTTCTCATAAAATATAATGAAAATCTAATCTTTTTTTTCCGACTGCCAGCCCTGGACTGTTCATTCCACCCAGATTCTTCTCTGTTTTGTGTTCTGCTACTGAAACAAGGCAGCTGTCTTTAACTCAGCAACAAGACCAAGGTTACCAGCTTAAGCCTCAATCTCCCCAGTGCTCTTGTGATTGAAGCAGACTGACCAACAAAAACAGCAGACAGACTACCTGGAAAGCATCTTCTAGATGTGGGCAAGGGTGGGCTGAAACATCCATGCATACAAGCCAGGGAGGACAGGACACACAGAGGGGCACCCTGAGCCATATGGTGGACACATGGACTGCAGGAGGTCACTGTAGGGCCCTGACCACTGTGCCCTCACTCTAGGAGGGACAGGGCCAGATCTTGGGGCTCCGCAGTCATGGCTTTGGGACAAGACGCAGCTCAGTTTAGCTGGGGCTACGCCACCCTGTGAACAGGACTGACTTCCCGGAGTGTGCCTCATCGGTCCGTGTGTCTGCTCTGCTCTCTGAACGGTAAAGTGGACTCCTTCCAACACAAGGGGCTGAATTCATCTCACTTAAAAATCATTATATTTGGGGCGCCTGGGTGGCTCAGTCTGTTAAGCAGCCGACACTTGACTTCAGCTCAGGTCATGATCTCATAGTTCGTGAGGTCAAGCCCCACACTGGGCTCTGTTCTGACAGTGCAGAGCCTGCTTGGGATTCTGTCTCCCCTTCTCTCTTCCCCTCCCCTGCTCACTCTGTCTCTCTCAAAATAAATACAAATAGACGTAAAACAAAAGCCCGGTATTTTTAAGGCTGGTCATGCTGCACTGACAGTTGGAGGTTCTCCCTGGGCTGCTCATGTCCCAACACTGGGATTTAACGCGGTGGAAAACCTGGAAGGAAACGCACAAAACGTTCCCTCATTATCTCAGGGGGTTAGATTACGGGTAATTTTATTCTCCTCTTCGTATTTTTTATATTGAAAAGTTGCCATGGAAAACTGCCATAGTAATGTTCCTGGTAAGGAAAACGTATTCATAAAAATTTAAGTGTGCTTTTGAGATCAGGGAAAGTTCACAGTTCAGCCCTTGGTTCACGGAGAGCAGGGAGGACAGGGTGCTGCACCCCAGAAGCAGGCGGCCCTTTGTCACCCGGGACAGAATTTGAGCCCCGGCATGGAGTTGCACTCCCTGGGTGTTGGCTGAGAACGTTACTGTGATTATAATAATCGCTATTTCTGCTTACTGCCTACTGATTCCATAAGCTCTCTTCTGCTATTTAGGAAACTCGCTGTCTCTCACACAAACGTGGCTGACCACGTCCCCTCCTTGAACAGCGGGATGACCTCTCCTTCTCACCTTGTAGAGCTTTTCTCTATTGCTGGCACCTCATGTCGGTTGCTTTACATTCTTGCCAACATTTCCACATGTGTCTCCTTCCCAAACAGGCTGCAAGGCCTAGCAGACGGGCTGGGGCACTTGTTTTGTACCCCAAAGTACACAGCAAGGCTGGGCATTTACCAGGTGTTCAACATTTACAGATGGACTGAACTTCATTCTGTCTGCCTGAGGGTATGTTCCTACTTAAAGCCCTGCCTTCCTGAACTCTCAAAGTTCTCTATTTCTTGTTAGAGGCCTCTTGAACTTTCCCTGGAAGGACCTGCTACCTCCTTAAGGCACTGACCGAAGTCTAGGGGTCTCATTAAGTAAGCTCACACCCCCGTCACCTGACCAGCACGCTTGTGGACACAATGCATACACCTGTGGGGGCATACATCGGGATTATGGATTAATCCTTCCGAGAGTCAAAATGGGGACCAGGTTCAAGAGTAAATACTGTGTACACGAGAGAAGACAGGGGTCAAGAATATCCAAGATTTGTCTGCGCTTACTATATACGTGCAAAGTCAGGCTTGGGTGCAAAGCACTGCAGACAGCTCATTTTACTTTCAAAGAATCCTGTTCTCGGTAAGCCCGTAAGAGCAATTTTTCTTTCATACCACGACTGGCCCTGCCTTGTTGTGTACAACATGCACACACTCATTCACTCCTGTGTGTCAGGGACTGAGCTCAGGGCAGGCCACAGGAGTGAGGATGACGGGTGGGCCCGGACCCCGTCCTCACGGTGCTGGGCAGGATGGGCTGGTCTGTGCAGAGGGTGCAAAGCCCCAGGAAGTGGGGAACCAAGCCCAGAAGCAGGTGGGGGCGGATGGCGGGGAGCTGAGGAGTGTCTGCAGTTGGCCGGGGTTAGATGAAAGGAAGCTGATGAGGGGCGGGACACAGAATGAATGTCTGCACAAGGCTTCCCAGGTGTTCTTCGGGGGTTCCTCTGGCTCAAGGGCCCTTGGCCACGCGAAGCCAGCCCTCCCCGCCTCTGCCTCCTCCAAAGAAAGTGGGTGGTTGGGGTCAGCCAGGCAGCAAGCATGACCTCAGTCCCACTGATGGCATCGCCCTCCACTTCACATACACACGAGAATGAGGCTACTTAAAGAAAACTCACTGTGATTTTTTTTTTCTTGCCAACTCAATCTGCTGCAAAGTGCAGCTTTTTCCACACAGGTCCCCTAAAAGCAGAGTACTGTTTGGCCCTGGTGTGCATGCATAACCTTTAACCTTTCACCCCAAGAAAGGCAGCTCCAAGTTGCACGGGCACAGACAAATCGGAGTTCAATCCTCTGGCAAGACACTCTATCGGTCTGAACCTCGATTTTTAAACTAGGGGAATTAAGGGGCGCCTGGGTGGCTCAGTCGGTTGGGCATCCGACTTCGGCCTGGGTCATGATTTCATGACTCGTCGGTTCGAGCCCCACGTTGGGCCCTGTGCTGCCAGCTCGGAGCCTGGAACCTGTTTCGGATTCTGTGTCTCCCTCTCTCTCTGCTGTTCCCCCACTCATTCCCTGTCTCTCTCTCCCTCAAAAATAAATAAAAACATTAAAAAATTTTTTTAAGATAGGGATTTAAAAAATACCCACTTTGGTGGATTTTGGAGTAAGAGAGAGAACATACAAATAAAGGATTGCTGGTAAGGGGTCACAGAGAGACACAGCGGAGAACCAGGGAGTTCTGAGTCTGCCAGAGAGCAGAGCTCCCTCCAGGGGACCCCTCCGACCCAGTCTAGTGCCCACATCAAGTGGGTCTGCCCTCGCCAAGAATCCCTCTAAACAGCTCTCCTGGAACCAGGCCCACATTTGTTGATATGGCATGGAAGGCCAGCATGGCCTGGCCCCTGCCTGTGTCCAGCTGTGGTTTTGCCCTCCCTCTCCCCCTGTGCCCTGGTCACACTGAGCTGAGGGCAGGCCCTGCACATGCCCTGCCGGCCCTTTTGCGGAGCCTGACTAGCCCCTCCGTTCCTCCTCAGCGTCGCTCACTGGTGCTCCTCACCTGGCCGGGCCAGGTCTCCTTCAGGACCCGCTTGCTGCGGTACGACTCTGGGGAGCCCTGTGTGCACACCTCCACCACTGCACTCAACATCTTGCTCAAATGGTCTCTCCCACTAGACAGAAAATTCCTCAAAGGCAAGCTCCCACCTCAGCTACCTTTCTATACCCCCCACGCCTGGCACAGCGTCCAATATACATGAGCTACTCAAGAAAGGTTTGTCAAGCACATTCTCCCGTGTACATATCTTGTAAAATGTTCGTGACTGGCAAAGTCACCTCTGGGGCATGCCTCACTGAACTGCACGGACGCGTTCCACCTGAGGAGCTGGCCCAGAAACTGAGGGGGAAGCAAGATATCTGCAGGCGAGCCACCTG